CTGTCCAGATTGCTACAGATGGTCTCTGTTCCCTGCGGTGTCCAGTTAAACTCCCCATCACCCAGCCCTGCCCCCAGCCCAGTGTGCCCCACCCAGACACACTGCTCATGCCCTGGGGGAGGGGCTGGCTGTGGGGTTTGCCTGGCTGCAAGGTGTTTCTTGTGGGGACAGCCAGTATGGAGAGTCCCAGCTGTGCCCCCTAGGGCAGGGCTTCCAGGCCAGTGTGTGTGGGGACAACACCGACCTGCCCTTAGCAACAAACCCACCACACACGGCCCCAAAGCAACAGAGATTCCCTGGGGCCTGCATCTCCCCTCACCCCCACTCTGGCTTCTAACCCTAATCTCACCCCTCTCTGACCCTCTGGCACCTTCTCCACTCATCCCCTCCTTCTTGCTGGTGCCTGCACCTCTCCTCTCCGCCCACCTGGTGCCTGGACCTCTCCCCCGCCCTTCGTCCTTAATACCTGCCCCCTCCTCTACCCCACTTCACTCCTCCATCCCTGTCCAGCTGGTGTGTGTGTGCCCCTCCTTACACCCCTCTGCCCCAAGCAATGGACATACCACTCTCCCTTAGGGAGTTAATTTGCCTCCATGTCCAATTTTGGGTGACTGTTTAATCAAAGATTCACCTGTGTCCCGATTAATTGTTGTTTAATTTCCATTAGTCTGAGTAATTAACCCCTGCCCCCAGCACTTCCTCTGTGACTCTCTCCCCAGTGGATGTTACTCTGGATCCAGACACGGCAAATCCCTACCTCGTCCTGTCCGAGGATCGGAAACGTGTGAGAGATGGAGACGAAGAACAGGCTCTTCCCGACAACCCTGAGAGATTTGACACTTACCCTGAAGTTCTGGGCGCTGAGGGATTCACGGGTGGGAGGCATTACTGGGAGGTGGAGGTGGGAGACAAGCCTGACTGGATTCTCGGGGTTTGTAGGGATTCTGTCAGCAGGAAGGAGGATAATGATATATCACCTGAGGATGGATACTGGGTTGTGGGGCTGTGGGATGGGGGAAACAAGGCCCTCACCTTCCCCAGGACCCCCCTCCCCGTGAGAATCAGGCCCAGCCGGGTGGGGATTTTCCTGGACTATGAGGCGGGCGAGGTCGCGTTTTACAATGTGACTGACAGGTCCCATCTCTTCACTTTCACTGACACCTTCTCCGGGACGCTCCGCCCTTATTTCCGTCCCTGTCTCAACGCTGGGGGTACAAACGCGGCTCCCCTGATAATCTGCCCGGTCCCAGCTGAGGCCGGAGGGAATCTCTGTCCCTGACAATGACCCCCGTGGCACAGACTGTCCCCTCCCAGAGCTGACCAGCCCCC